TAACAGTGTTAATTAGTGATATTCATTATCAATTTTATGGGGAAAATATCCGAAGAAATAAAATTAAAACACATTTATTTGACTGAGAAGAAGATGTGAAAACCAATGAATTTGATGTGCATAGAGAATTTAGACAAATTGATTGATGTTCTATGTTAGCACTCTCTCGAAAATTCTAGACAGAAATCATTTATTTAAAAAAGGAAAACAAATTATTTTAAATCAGAAAGTTTTACGTTGATCGCAATTTTTGTTTATATTCGCATTTCAACAGTGAATTGCATTTGAAAGGAAAAAAAACACTTTTTAATTGAAATTAATTTGAACTAATACACTTTAGAATTTACTTTATAATAAAATCAAATCAATGTAGACTTTATTGGAGATATCTGTCTGTATAATGTTTTATTATTTTTGTTGTGACATTTAAATTGAGGACAAATAAAATACTACAATAGCGCATACAAATCATAAACTGGCTCTTTTATACATTTTTGATATTTTCAGAAAACAGTCTCATTGCATCGGCGAGGGTTTGATGGACAAACAAACAGATTTTTTGATTGCGCATTCTGCGATTGGTTTTGTCGTCGCGCGTCTTTTCTCCCATACGTCACATTCATTATGTGACGTATTACACGCGCCTGAAGTGAAAAAAAAAAATTTAGTCTCTCTCTGATTTCGTTTATTCCATTCAATTGCAATTGTGTGTCAAAACAACAAAATTTACTTTTGCAATTTATGAAGAAAAAAAATAATGCCAGATTTTTTGTTTGAAACATTGTCCAACACGAAAAGGTTTTCAAGGTTACCCTTTAAAATTCCGAAATGCTCGTTAAGAAGAACTGCATCATTAGATGTCGCAAAAGTTGACTCTTTGAAAGCACGCTGAATTGGCACTTTGAAAGCACGCTTTCAACAAAAAATGTTAAAAACTCCCCCCATTCAATAAATAGTATTTTCAGCTCATTCCATAATACTATTATAAAGCAACTCTTGCGACATCCGTGCGGATACATACGTTTCACTTTTATAAAATCTCAGAAGAAGTCTCATATTCATTCTCAGCAATTTATTTGTTCTTTGTCTTTAAAATGTTGTAGATAGAAGTAAATATTTTGGATATGATTTAATCAGATATAATTACAAACGATGATGTAATATACATTTTCTTATATAAAATCTTCTTCATATTTATTAGACATTTTGTTTACACTGTAAACTTTACAGACTTAATCAGACAATAAAAATGAATATAAATAAAGGCGTAAAATACTGTAAAATAAACGAACTGTATTCTAAACTTTCTTATCTCTTGCGTTGAAATTTCACTTTATAGGTATCATATAGACAATCTATTTTTTCCATTTGTACCTGTTTCCATTCGCGACCAAGAGATTGAATCAAAACATTGCTTTCATGTTGCTTACTAAATCTAACTATAATTAATTCCAATTCAGTTAATTTGGTGAGAAGAATTTGATAATTTTTTATCAACATTGAAGCATGCGTTAACTTCAATATTTTCAGCTTTTTCATACGTATCGCCGCGTTCAGCCAATCTGAATTTCCATCCTCTATTCCAAGAGACAATCTTTTAAGGTTATCAAAAACAAATGATCCAATATAATGGTAGTCACTTTTCATAGAAAAATTTTCAACTGATTTGAACTGATAAAATGGAATTTTCTCCATTGAAAGTCTTCTTAATGAACAAGAAAATACTATTTTCAAAGTTTTCAATTTTGGTAAAATTTCACTTATCGATGAAAGTATTAAATCGCTATCTGAGTGTATAATAACACGTAATTTTTTGATTTGACGATTAACACGTAAAAAAGAAATAAATGATTCAACATCTTGATCAGACGTTTTGAGTTCATTCATATTCGGAAAACATATATTTTTTAATATCTTAGGAATCCATTTTAACCACAAAGAATTTACGTTCGGTATGTATTCTATTGCATCAAATTTTATATGTTCATCACTTAATGCGATAATTTTTGTAAGATTTTTTAATGGCTTATTTAGTGGCATAAAGGGATAGTTCAGCAATTCGATTACTTCCAATGAATCTGCACTGTATTCTATAATGTATTCAATGATGTATTTATAGAAGCTCGGTTTAATTCCTTTATCGATAAACACAGAGTCAGTTTCAATTTGAATGTATTTGATGGATTTTCCAAAATTACGAATCAATTTAAACCACATTTTCGCTTCACTAATCCTGATGATCGGTTTGATTTTACAATAAACAGACAGTGGATCAAATCTTTCGATAGGAAATTGAGTAGCATCTATACATATCAACCAATGTCCATGCTTTCGAGAAAATATTGATTTAGCAATAGTTTGCAAGCGTCTACTGACACCGCATATATTTGTCAAATCTACTAATTCCAAGTAGGAGAGAATTTTTTCAATTGCATCGTCGCACATATCGTCGAATTCTGTCTGTATTTTGGTGTAGTTGGAATCTTCATGTTGAATTTTATCTTCCAATTCAGACGGAGATCGTCTTTTGACGCTGTTTGTCTATGAAAAGTAAGAGAAATAATTTTGAGAGAACTATTTTCAATGTAACCAAATGCTACTAAATAAACAACACAATAAATTTACCACGTGCTCATCATTTTCAGCGGAGGAAAAATGATGCGGTCTTTCAATATCTTCCTTCATTCTGCTGCTTACTTAACATTCACCGAATTAGTAATATATTAATATTGTCAATACTTCGAATGCCATCAAGCACAGAACCACAAAATTACTTAAATTAGAATTATTTTGCAGAAAGTTAATTTCAATGATAATTCAAAACGAGACAATAAACTGAATGTATGGACGCTGCATTTGCGAAGAAAACTAATGCGACAATCAACTGCCACACACATACGGTGGAAATATTTCGATTTATACAGTGGTAACATTTAAGTATCGTTCTAATGTAACAACTGGAACTGAATATTATTGTTTAACAAATAAATGAGAGAATTTTGATTCTTACATTCACACAAGAGCATAGAAATATTTACATTTTTATTTTAATTCTGTCAAAATTAGTTTATTTACAACGAACTTCCAAATTATTCAATGCGTGTGAACAACACTTCATCTGTATGACAATATCAAAGACTTTATTCAGCACGAAACCAACTGTCAAAGTTCTGTGTATAATGTAAATAAAAAGTGCCGGTCATTAAATTTTATATGATACCGAGCGGAGCGGAATAAAAGTCGAATTATTGTAAGAATTTATAGGTTTGAATAAGCAAAATTTAGTAAATATAACAATCCAAAATGAGCGTACGTCTTATTGAAAGCGATCACGGCTTTGAGCAAGAATTGGAAGCAGCTGGTGTTCGTTTGGTTGTGGTCAATTTTATATGCGAATGGTAAAAATGTTGCAAGTTGCAAATAGACAAGTGAAATTCATTTCTTTTTCCTACTGAATCCAGTAAACAGCGGTATATTTTTTGTATCATTGTGTGTATAGGTCCACCACTTCAGCTACTCTTGAATCACACTTTGAACAACTATCAAACAAATATCCACGAGCTATTTTCCTAAAAGTTAATATTGATAACTGTAAAATCACAGCTATAGCACAGTGTGTTCCGGTCCCAACGTTATTCTTCTACAGAAATAAGGTGAGTTTGTGTTCAGCCTTTTGTGCTTTTTTTGCTATTGACAATATGCATTGAATTTCACGTTACAGACAAAGATTGATCATCTTCAAAATGCCAACTTAGATGAATTGGAAGCAAAAATCCAACTACATATTGGTTGTGATAATGCCGATTCAGGTGAAGACCTGAAACAGGGTTTGGTATGTTTTATATTTAATTTGTATCAGTCACAATATTTTTTTTCTATCTAACATCGGATGTTTTTGATTTGTCGCACAATTACAGATGGATCTCAGAGGGCTGATCACGAAAAACCAGTGTGAATGTTTGGGCGGAGCAGATAATTTTCCGTTGGAACACTTATTCACGGACGGCAGAACGGTGGCAATTCTTTAAATTTCGATTTCGATGATCAGCTTCTTTTGTCGGTCAATTTTAATCAATCGGTCAAAATACACGCCATCAAATTGAAAGCACCCGAGAAATTGGGACCGAAAACGCTGAAATTATTCATCAATCAGACTAGACCAATGGACTTTGAACTAGCCGAATTATGTCCGGCCGTTCAAGAAGTGATGTATGTTTGTTCTTCTAAGGATTTATGTTTAGCACTTAGTATCCATCAAATATTTAGTAAATTTTCTTTCTTTTATCTCGTTACAGCGTCGATCCAAAGGACTTGGTAGGAAATCTTATAAATTTATGGCCGGTGAAGTTTGCGATCGTAAACAGTATCCAGATTTTCATCAAAAACAATCAGAGAGGGAGCGAATTCACACAACTAGACATTGGTTTCATTGGATCACCGTTACCAGCGGGCAACAATTCCATTTCAACGGATGTGGATATTGTAAGTATAAATCATGAAATGAATTGATTGTGATTTTATCTGATTGATGTAAATATTTACCTCATTTTTTTTTATTTCAGGAAGGTATTAAGCAACACAACTGGTGTGGCACGTGATTTGAATGATTTGCGTCGTGTGCATCAATTGCTCGTTATTAGCTTGTCTAAGTTGCGTACAAAGACGGTCAGCACGGAATTGTACAACGAAAGCAGGGCATCGCTTGAAAAACTGAGCATTCTGAAAGCATGGGCAGAAGTTTATATTGTTGCTATGATTGGTAATTTTACATCAGTTTTATTCTGATTTTTTTAAATTTGAATGAAAATTAACTCAGTTCAATACATTTTTTATCACTTATCACAGGAAATGGTTTTGCACCGGCCAGTTTGATAATGAAGAAATTGTCGAGTTCTTCAAATGTAAATTACACAATAATAACAACCACAGCGACGACACCTTCAACGTCTACTGCTGCTGCTCCAACAGACGATTCCGATTTTGGTGATTTTGAGAGCCGTGGTGAAAGTCTTTTGTCACTCGTGAAACCAGAATTAAATAATTTGTCAACCCATTGGTTGTCCGCGCTAAAAGATCATGCCATGCTGTTGCTTCCACCTGAATTCGCAAGCCAGTTACCACATGACGGTGGTGCGTTCTATACCAATGATACGATGAATTCATCGAAACCACATTACTTGGGTGCATGGCCACAAATTCTGTACGCCGCTTCGCTTTGGCTCAATTCGAACGGATTCCGTTTGGATGCGGCCGCCGAGGAGGACGAAACGACGCAGAAAGACGACGAAAGTAGCGGAAAAGTAACTAACAATAACCAACCGCCAGTGAGCCATGACAGTGTACGTGCTGATCGTTTCCATTTGGTGTTCGGTATTGCAATGGAAGCCATTTGTAGCACACGTTCGAATGAGAAATTGGAAGCGGTGCTTGCATGTTTGCAGTCAATGTACACACTGTTCGATGATGCTTGGGCTCGCGAACAACTATTCATGGAGCGTTCATTGGCAATTGAACTGTGAAACGGAGGCATTGTGTGCGCCAAATGCAAAAACACCCAAAACCGAACTCG